AATCAGTTTCCTAAGTTTTGCGAACATGACGGCTGTGGAGTCAAACTAGGCTCTAGTTGGACAAGAGAGCTACGACACATGGCAAGTACTCTCAGAAAAATTATGCTTCTTAAATGGTTCTTCAGACGTCTTTATGGTTCTTTAAAGAAACATCATACGTCAAAAAAACGTTTTATTTTTTGGATGGCTCTTCAGCTATTACAAATGGTTCTTTAAAGAACAAAAGGTTCTTCATCCCTAGCTATCTAAGTTTGATGGTGTAAAATAGCAGAAATATTTATTCACTATAATGGGGGTGTGAATTATACTGTGGGAAATCCTGGTCTTGTTAGGAGAGACGGCATCCATCCCACTCTGGATGGAGCAGCTAGAAATATGGACAAATTTATTAAACCCCCAATTGCCAACTCAGGGTCTGCAGCCTTAAAGATTCCTTGTGAGAGTTTGATTGTGTGAATAGGTGGTGTGGGTAGAGTGTTAGTTTGTTTTAATTGCTTTCTCTCAAATATGTGGATGGAGAGTTTTTGTTCTTGTTGCAACAGAACTGTTACTTTTGGGGAGGAATGGGACCGCAGCGCAAACTGTTCATGATGAGTCTGAGTCTGCAGAGGGTCCCAGTGCACTGCAAGACGTCATGCTTTGTTCCTTTGCCAAAGACGCCACAGTTGCATAGACTGTATATATTAGAGCTGTTCCTTATATTTTGTAACTTGTAATCGTTTGTATTTAATTTAGTACAGTCTGTTACTGTTCTTATTGTCTTGGAGCAACATATGTATTATTGTAGGGTCTACCTTACTATATAAAGCACCTTGAGGCGACTGTTGTTGTGATTTGGCGCTGTAAAAATTCAAATAGAATTGAACTGTAACCACATACTTTCCTAACGGTTAATAAAGTATTGTGATTGTGATTCTGATACGATGCCACTCTATAGAGGGTGTCCTTCCTTGTTGTCAGCACTGTCAGTCTCCTGCTTTGTTGCTGGCCTCCAGCTAGGCCACAGAAAGTGCCCCATCGCCTTCACTTTCACTGTCCCCAAGAGATATGTTTGAAAAACAGTTATTTTGGTAACGCATTTGTTATTAGAAAAGTGACTTTACCAATTATTGACATGGTATAGACAAGCTAGTTATAATTGAGCTACAGCAATTACAGCAAGCTTGTTTTTCAGAATTTTCAATTATTTACAACACTGGAAGAACAACAGACTTTTCATGTACTAAATATGTTTAAAATATGGTTAAATATATTGAAATATACATTTATTTAGTGAACATATGATTTGATGAACATTATATCGTTGTAATATTTTTGAAATCATTTGCATTGTTAAAAATGAAAATAAATGAAATAAACAACTATCTGCGACACCTAGTTTTACACTTAGATCCACACAGGTCCATGCAGTGAAAGCAGCATTGCATCTATTTGTTAAACAGATTAACTGAAAACTGCACAAGGAAAATGTAAAAGTAAGCAAAATCAATATCTGACTGTGATGATAATAATGATGTTAGAACCAATTCATTAGAATAAACCAACCAGATTTAGAATAGTGAAATAAAACTCAAGTAAAACTAGGTTATTGCCCCAGTAAGGTAAGATTAAGAAGAAAGTATAAGGATTATAAAGAAAATGGCATCGACAGAAAACAGAAATAGCATCATCACAAGTCAGCCCATGCAAACCGCTAGAGAAGCAACAATGGTGAGTAATTAAAAACTGAAAGCAGAAGAATTCCAGTTCATTCCATAGCAGCTTCTGATTTCCCAAGGTCACAGAACACAGCAGAAGAGCCTTCACCTAAGAAGTGATTAGCCCTGAATCCGGCATAGAGCGGCTGAGTGAATGGAGGAGAGTCATGGTTTTAGAGATGCTGTAGAAGGACAGAATACCTGCTCTGTGATCCAGTTACACTCCAATTCTGTAAGATGGAGGGCTTGAGATAGATGTAAAGTATTCATCTATCTCAGTTTTCTGTTGGGATCTGATCTGTTGCTGGATATCAGAAATGCTTTTCTTGATGAGAAGGAATAGTTGTTGAAGTGTCCTCCCAGTGTCCCTCACAGCTTTATCAGCAGACTGATTAATGGCCTCCACCTCCTGCAGAAGCACCATCACATCTCCTTCTCTGTTTTTGATTCTCTCCTGAGTTTTTTCACGACTTGAGTTGACCTCTTTTTGCCGTTTCAGTCCTTTCTCCTTTCATACAATTCATACAGTAGCTGTGTCTACAGGGTCCATGCGAATTCCATGCTGCGTCGTTTCACCTCTCAAAGACAGTTATGTGAACTAGTTTAATTCTCTAAAATAGTAAGAACATTATTTAAATTACTTTATGTTAATTACACTCTTCTAAGACAAAGTAATTATTTTTTAAATATCAGTAGGATTTTAAAAGCTTGGAGGTTCAAAACTTAACATTTAACATACATCATACACATTTTGAGGATAAAAATCTCCAGATATCAGATCACCTCTCTGTCTCTCTGAAGCTAACTGTGGCTAAATGCACACAGTTAGCTTCAGATCATTTCAGTGTGAATGGGCCGCTTCCTTCAGAATCTCACACACACACACACACACACACACACACACACAACACAAAGCCGCGTCTTCAGATTCTCACAATACACACATATACACATGCATACGCACAACATACGCACAACATTCCTCTGTCTATGAACAGACGTATTCACTATTGTATTACTTTTGTGTATAAATAAAGACAAGAGCAAAATTAGAGCGCACATCACAGGGCCCCCACTCTCGTGTGAGCGCTCTGTGACTGCCCTTGCAAGTAAAAACTGCAGCGTGTGTGTGTGTTTCTACTCTCTGACTCTCAGCTGAAGAAGTGTCTTTAGAATACATCTCTTGACAGTCTTTCATGTGGAACAGCGAAACGCAAGTACGAAACCCAAGGGGTTATCACATGATTTGGAAGGCATTCTGGGCGCAGCCAGCGGATTTCTTTATGTGGGCATTTTGCCGTACCACAGGCAGAAATATTGCCGTTAAATGCCTTCATAACTTGAATTTTTCATTAAATGGGGTATTCGTAAGCCGGGGTTCCACTGTATTTTGATCTTTTATGTAAGAAGTATTATGCTTTTATGGGAGCTTTTTACATTACCTTTGTCATTAACTTTTTAATTTTTGTGAAATTTATCAGGCCATGCCAAACTGGAATAGGCTTCTTCTTTTTTTTTCTTTTTTTACAGAAAATAATTGCACATGCAAGCAAACCAAAAATTAATAAGCAAGCCTCTGTATGAAAGAGCCAAAGATCCAAAAGTAAGTATCAAGAATCAAAGCAGCTAAGTACTCAGAAAAATTTATAGACACTGAGGACTCATGGACAACAGGAAACAGATGGGGCATCATCCAAAATCTGAGACTACAAGACCGGTCCACGGTTAGGAGAGTACTGGGTTTTCTTTTAGAGACATCTAAAATAGGAATTTTAATTTTTCAACTCGTTGTTGCAAAATAGGCTGAGCGTAAACCAAGTCCCAACTATCATCCTAACCATAGAGCCATTGACTTGGCATTGGTACTTACTGTATGGTCAGTAGCAAGTTTTGCTTGCTATGAGTGCTTCAGTTTGTCTTTTTTAAACATTCTTCCCTGCAAAATACTCTGTAAGGGTGAACTCATATCATGCACAGTTGCCTTATTTCTTCCTGGAGCATCATTATTGTCAAGATCGTGTGGAGGTTGTGGTGTGAGGACCCTAATGCAGACGAACGAGGCAGAACTGAACTTTAATGAAAAATGAGCCTTTATTGTGGCTAAGAACAAAAACACAAGCCAAACAAAGGAAATAACCAGGGGAGAAACTAACATAAAACCTGAACTGGAAAAACTGAGTACATGAAACATGGAGATGCAGGAAAGGTTAACAGACGAACGGACAACAAACACGGGGCCCTCATAAATACACAGAGGGATGAAGAGGGAAGAGGAAACACACGGGTGGCACAGCTGGGGTGAATAAACATAATGACATAACAGGAGGAAGCAAAACTGAACACACTGAACACAGGACACTTGACTGTCAAAATAAAACAGGAAGCACAGAGACGCAGACCTAAGACCATGACACCACACCAGGGATAAACAGGGATGCAAACGGGGAGACGAGATGAAACACAAGGAGAGCAACAAGGGAACAGGTAGGGAGAGAGAGCGAGAGGGGACACGAGAGAAAAGGAGTGAGAGGGGACAAGAGACAGGGGAGTTGCAGAAACATGGATAAACATGACAGACAGGAGAGGACTGGAATGAACCCAAGGAGGGGGAACATGGGAACAGAAAAGGAAATCAAGACGCACACCCACAAACCCAAAGAGAGTAAATGGACTGTTTCTTATATAGTGCTTTTCTACTCTCCCGGAGTACTCAGAGCGCTCTATACATCATGCCACATTCTCTTTCTTTCTATACTTAGTGCTTCCTAACTACTTTCATACTCCAATGAATGCATTGGAGAGCAACTTGGGGTTAGTATCTTGCCCAAGGATACTTGATATGCAGACTAGAGGAGCCATGGATGGAACCACTAACCTTCCGATCAGTAGGTGACCTGTTCTACCTCCTGAGCTACAGCCACCCTAGAGAGGGACACAGGACAAAGACACAGGGGGGGAAACGGGGGAAACTAGACAATTCAAAATGCAGAATAAATTCCTGACCAACTAATGAACCTAAACATAAACTGTAACTACAGGGGTCCAACAAAGAATGGCCACGCATCATACTGATGTCTTCGGAAATTTATTTCTCTCTCTCTCTCACTCTTATTGTCTTCAGACACCGTGAAAACTGAAGAAACACAAAGTTTACAACATAAATGTTTTGAGCTTATCAGTCTCTCATATCAGTGTCCATAAACAGTCTTGTGCAAGCAGAACAGAAAAATGCACAATAATGGATATCACAAAAATGTCCTCTCATTACCAGTGTAGAACACGTATGCAACATTATACAAATGTTAAGAGAATTTTTATTTTAGTTAAATCATTAAAGTATAATCAAGTGTTTATATATTTTCACACGGTAAAGCTTACTGTTGAAAAGAACACAATGTATTCCTTGCTTAAGTGTGTGAGATGTTTGACAAAGACAGGATATACATGCATTCTTTACTTCAGTGTCTGAGATGTCAGATAAGCATGAATACTGCTGTGTCGTTGTTTTTCAGTTTGTGTGCAGAAGTTAGATAGCTAAGACAATGCCTGAGCTCTCCCCTCTTCAGTTGAAAGAGGAAGTACTATGTAACCCATTTTGCCTTATAAATAAAGCGAGTAAACGGTGCTCGGTGTGTTAGTCTGCTCAGAGACTCTCACCCGTGCGCACGTCTTTGAAACTCTGAGTCGGTCTGCCAGTGTCTCATTTCTCTCTTACTGTGTTTGAACAATTGTCAATCCCTTGACAACAAACAATATACATGAAACCATACCGTGTGCGCCTCTTGGACCACATGCAGAATAACATTAACGCTGAGGCTGTAGATGCATCTGTAGCCACGTATCCATGCTAGCTCCACAATGCCATGGTTGTGCTCTCAACCAAACTCTGGTCATGTGACAATTACAAACTTTACCTCATACAAACTTTACAGCACTTTACATATTTAACAAACCCATATTTTGTAATCACATATTTTAGACATGTTTTTTAATTAATGTTAAACTTTTATCATCTTATCTTATAAATAAATGAACTAAATTAAGCATGAATCTATCACAGAAACATGAAATAACCAACTTTATTTTAACTGTCTCAGGGACAGTTACATAAACCATAATACAAAATTACACTAAAATACAAGAAAGCTCAAAACGCTGCTTCAAATGACCCAGGACGATCCAATTGTCCCCACTCTCCCACTGGCCTGCACTTATGCTGTCCTTAACAGTCCAGGTGACTTGTGCAATTGAGTTCATCCTCAACATCTGAAGTCATCTATATCACACACACTTACTGAGGTAATCAATTTTAGGCAATTTTTGTTTTTGCTTAAATGGGGAAGCTGTGACACACTGTCTGCTCACCTCCAGTTAAAGATTTTTAATTACTTTTTTTATTTGTTTTTGTTAATTTTTATAGCAAGTAACACAGACCCATGCTACATCACTGCACTTATAATCTATGCTATATATTTTGCCTGACCTCTTTAAGAGAGACCTCTTTTTCTAGACTATTTGAGCTCACACAGCTCAACACACGATCCAACATAAAGCCAAAATCCAGCGTAGAGCGGCTGAGTGAATGTGGTCTGGACTCTGTGCAGGAGACACATGGTCTTTGAGACACTGTAAAACGACAGCATACCCGCTCTGTGATCCACGTATACTCCTATTCTGGGTGACTGAGGGCCTGAAATGACAGTTCTGATTTTGTTATGCCTCAGTTCATAACCATTTTTGAAACACTCCAGTGCCCAAGAACTGTCATTGTTCCCAAACAGACTTTCATCTCCTGTTCTGCTGATATTCTTGTATGAAACTGCCACTGAAAGTGCTCCTCCACTCCACACCACCTCCCAGTAACAACATCCAGTCAGACTCTCTCTGCTCAGGACTTGATGTCTGTTGATGAATCTGTCTGAGTGATGACTATATAAAAATTTTTTACTCATACATTTGACTTTTTTGTCCCCTTCAAATAAGAGACTTGTGTTTGCTGTGTTAAAATCCAGCGTTAGTTCTTGAGATAGTCCGAGGAACTCAGCTCTGGTTTTGGGTTCAGGTCGAGACATTACTGCATCCACTTCCCCCTCTAACTGTGAGACTGCGGTGCCAAAACGGATTTCCTGTAGTTTACGTTTGAACTCTGACACAGCTGTCATCACATCCTCAAAGTACTGCAAAGTACATGTTTTAATGTCGAGTGATCCAACAGATTCATGCACATGTGACAGTGAGGTGTACGTCTGGAGAAAGTGGGTGTGATCCTGTGTATGAAAGAGCTGCCCCAGCTCAGCATCTTTCCTCTTCAGCACAGTGATCTCATTCTCTATTCTGTCCTGAAGCTCTCTTGCACGACACACTTCAGCTTTCTGACGAGATCTGATCTGCTGTTTTACATCATTAAAGATCTTCTCACTGTCCCTCACTGCTTTATCAGCAGACTGAGTGATGGCTTCCACCTCCTCGTGAAGCACCTTTATGTCTTTTTCTTTGTCCTGGATTCTCTCTTGGATTTTCTTTCGACTCACCCCAAGTTCTCTCTGCTTTTTATTCCTTTCTGCTGTAGCTGAAACTGTGTCGTGGCCTTTATGTTCATCCATGGAGCACAAATAACAGATACACTGCTGATCAGTGCGGCAAAATATCTTCATCACCTCACTGTGTTGAGAACAGATGATTTTCTTAAGCCTCTTTGATGTGTCCACCAGCTTGTGTTTCTCAAAGGCAGTAGATTCATAGTGAGGCTGGAGGTGCTGCTCACAGTAAGAGACCAGACACTGCAGACAGGACTTGATGGCTTTCAGTTTCCTCCCAGTGCAGACATCACAGGCCACATCTTCAGGTCCAGCATAGCCATGATCGGCAGGGGAAGCTTGGAGTTCAGTCTTCTGCAGCTCCTCCACTAACTCTGCCAAGACAGTGTTTTTCTTCAAAGCAGGCCTCGGTATGAAGGTCTGTCTGCACTGAGGGCAACTCTGGATGTTCTTCTGATCCTCTTCATCCCAGTAGCTTTTAATACACTTCATACAGTAGCTGTGTCCACAGGGAACAGTGACCGGATCCTTCAGGAGATCCAAACAGATCGAACAGCAGATTTTTTTCTCATCCAGTCTGCTTGTTTGCCGTGCCATTATCGCTCTCAGATGACAGAATGATAAAAAAAAAAAAATAGTACTACTGCATTAAAATTAAAAAAGATTTTTTAAAAGCAAATTACACAGAAACTACATCTTCTTTATGCATGCTTCAATATCTGCATTGCGGCTCGTTTGTAACAGCATCCTGATGTCTTAACTTATGAGAAGATCTGTGAGAGTGAAGCTGTAGAAAAACACTGAGACTGAACGCAATTGGTTGATTTTGTGAATAGTGAGGAAGTTTTCAGCCTGCAAGTCATGCCACGAAGCCACAACTCTTGAGAAAAGCACCATGTGGTTCTACCCACTGTTGACAACACAGAGTATAAGATGCAAATACTAGACACCTTACACAACCTTAACTCAGTCCTTGACAATTTGTAGACAATTTCAAAATAACAATGTTCTTTAAAATGGATCAGTGAGTACCGCTTTGCATTTATCACTCTGCCAGATCCATAAGATTATCATTAGGTATTTCAATGCTGATTACAAACTCGTTTGAGGCTAACAAATGGAAATTAGAACCCAAATTCAGATGTGGAGTTTAAGATCTTGGGAGCGCTTCACAGGGAGTGGGACTGAGGCTGCTATTACTGGATAGATGTCACCAGGAAACCAGCTACATTTCTACTATCAGACCATTCTTTCTTGTGTCAGAGTATAAAAACATGGCAACACAGAGTCCACACCTAGTGAGGAATTTCATTTGTCAGAAAACACAAAAGACCTCAGCTGTGCAGTCCAATAATACAACAGTCAGTTTGGATATTTTAACGCCCCCATGATCAAAAGGCAAGGATGAGCTGCTGCAGCTGCAACTAGATGGTTTTAAGAAGAGAATTTTGAGTGAAGATATTTTCACTTAAACTGTTCCATTTCTGGAAAAATAAGCTTAAATGTCATACATTTAACTGTATTAATGAATATGTATTGAGTTTAAATACTCCAATATTATCCTAGAATGCAACCAACACACATTTACAGTGGTATGCAAAAGTTTGGGCGCCCTTGATAATTTTCATGATTTTCCTTCATAAATCTTCAGTTGGTTGGATCAGCAATTTCATTTAAATGTATCATATAGCAGAGGAACACAATGATATTTGAGAAGTGAAATGAAGTTTATAGGATTTACAGAAAGTGTGCAATAGTTACTTAAACTAAATTAGGCAGGTGCATACATTTAGGCACCCTTGTCATTTTATTGATTTGAATACCTTTAGCACTAATTATTGGAACATAAAATTTGTTTGGTAAGCTCATTGACCCTTGACCTACATAAGGGTATTTAAGGTGGCCAATTGCAAGTTTTTCCCCTCTTTGCATCTTCTCTCAAGAGTGGCTACATGGGAGCCTCAAAACAACTCTTAAATGACCTGAAAACAAATATTATTCAACATCATGGTTTAGGGGAAGGATACAAAAAGCTATCTCAGAGATTTCAGCTGTCAGTTTCCACTTTGAGGAACATAGTGAGGAAATGGAAGAACACAGGCACAGTTCTAGTTAAGGCCGGAAGTGACAGGTCAAGAAAAATCTTAGATAAGCAGAGGCGAAGGATGGTGAGAACAGTCATAGTCAACCCACAGACCAGCTCCAAAGACCTGCAACATCATCTTGCTGCACATGGCGTCACTGTGCATCATTCAACTATTCAGCGCACTTTTCACAAGGAGATGCTGTATGGGAGAGTAATGCAGAAGAAGCCTTTTCCACGCACATGCCACAAGCAGAGTTGCTTGAGGTATGATTAAGCACATTTGGACAAGCCAGCTTCATTTTGGAATAAGGTGCTGTAGACTGATGAAACTAAAATTGAGTTATTTGGACATAACAAGAGGCGGTATGCATGGCGGAAACAGAACACAGCATTCCAAGAGCTAGCCACAGTAAAATGTGGTGGCGGTTCCATCATGTTGTGGGGTTTGTGTGACAAGTGCAGGTACTGGGAATCTTGTTAAAGTTGAGGGACACATGGATTCCAGTCAGTATCAGCAGATTCTTGAGAACAATGTTCAAGAATCAGAGACAAAGTTGAAGTTGCACCGGGGCTGGATATTTCAACAAGACAACCACCCAAAACACTGCTCAAAATCTACTAAGACATTCATGCAGAGGATCAAGTACAACGTTCTGGAATGGCCATCTCAGTCCCCAGAGCTGAATATTATTGAAAATCTTAGGTGTTACTTAAAGCGTGTCACGGCCCAGCGGCACGAGGGAACAGAGATGGACACAGGTGCAGAAACCAACCCGGAAGCGAGACGGTAAGAGAACAAAGGATTTATTTTCGCCCACAGGCAAACACAAGCAAAAACAAAACGACGCCACCACACTAGTGGCGTGTAGGATAATCTAAGATAACTAAGGGTGACCTAGACACCTCTAGGAGACAGCTGAACAGCAGAGGCAGCGGGGAGGTGGAAGCAGGACTATGTAGGCGCCGGGGCACTGGAATGAGAGGAGATCACGGTCAGTGGGATCCAGCAGACAATCAACGATCCTCCACAGTTAAACTGAGTTGCCTTACTTGGTTTCAGGTGGAGGGGACAGGTGGGGCGGAAGGCCCGGAAGCGGTCGAGATGTGGGGAGGCAGGCAGGCAAGTGAGTGGTGGGCCGGCAGGCAACGTCGTATCAGCAGCAAGCGGCCCAGGTCCAGGAAAGCGGGAATGAGGGAGACAAGACCTCCACTCCAGGTGCTACCTCTGAGAACAAGTCATCACACGGGTTCTGGACAGAGCAATAATGCTCCACTTGACTAACATGGGGATAGCAGATAGGCGGTTGAGTGCGCAGGTCTGCCGGAATAATTACTCACAGGTGGTCAGCCAGGGAGGAGCAACCGAACTCCACCTAAAGGAGGAGGAGCCGCTGTTGGAGACCTGCAGGTACCCACCCAGATCATGACAAAGCGGGCTGTCCATGCTCGGAAACCATCAAACCTGACTGAACTGGACATGTTTTGTAAAACCAAAATGGTCCAAAATACCTTCAACCACAATCCAGACTCTCATTGGAAGCTATAGGAAGTGTTTGGAGGCTGGTATTTCTACTAAATATTGATGTAATTTTTCTGTTGGGGTGCCTAAATTTATGCACCTGCCTAATTTAGTTTAAGTAACTATTGCACACTTTCTGTAAATCCTATAAACTTCATTTCACTTCTCAAATATCATTGTGTTCATCTGCTATATATGATATATTTAAATGAAATTGCTGATCCAAACAACCAATGATTTATGAAGGAAAATCATGAAAATTATCAAGGGTGCCCAAACTTTTGCATACCACTGTAAACAGTTAAATAAAACTAAACTAAAAAATTCTTACTGAAAATGAGGTTGGCGAAACTCACAACACAAAAAAGCAGCAAATTTAATGGAACAACATGTAAACTTGTGCATTTTACTGAACAGAGTATAATGAGCTGATTTATATGCACTAAATAACAGCGTGAGTGTTTCACAGTCCTGGAAGAGGAACACCTTGAACTTTGAACACAACTGCTTAAAGATTTCTATAGTTATGATAGTCACAATCTTTATGATCACCTTACATCCTGGTTGGATTTGCTTCAATAAAACATCTCAAGGCCACCTGACATCTGATTGATTTTGATTCTGACTTCACTTCCACATTTGTTGATTCAGCATCATATTAGTGAGGGATGCTTGGGCCTAAAAAAAAATCACCTAGTACCCAGTTGAATGAAATAGATTCAACAGACTGCTGGAAACATTCCTCAGGGATTTTGCTAAGATCATACAGATCTGCTGGCCATATGTTGTTTACACCGAATTCTGACCCTACCCTCCGAATGTTGCAGAAACTGAGACTCTTCAGATCCGGCAGCACTTCACCAATCTTCTATTGTGCAGTTTTGGTGAATCAGTGTGAACTGAAGCCTCATTTTTGTATTTTTAGCTCACAGGAATGGCACCTGGTTTGTTCTTCTGCTGCTTATCGACCTGATAGATTGCCAGTTTCTGAAATACCAGCCTGTCTCGCACCGATAACCACGCCACGGTCAAGGTCACTTTCATCACATTCTTGATGCATGCTTAATCATCCAGGTCAGTAAACCCCAAAAAGTTGATTCTGTTCATTTGGACGTTGCATTTTCAGTGGGAGAGCTGAAACGTTTATCCACCTGAAAACGCTACGTCCAGATGAACAGAATCAACTTTTTTTGGGGTTTCATCACATTCCTCGTTCTGATGCTGTTTGAAATTCAGCAGGCTGTCTTGATCATATCTACCTATCTAAATGCATCAAGTTGCTGCAATATGAATGGCTGATTAGACATTTGCACTAACAATCAGCAGACCAAGTGTACCAAGTGACTGATTTTTTTTATTTTTTATCATTTTTACTTCTATTATTACAAACATAAGCTTTAAAAAAATAAAATAAAATAAAGAATGTGTTAAGAGCACCAGAGCACTTTCCCATAAACTGCTTCATTGATTACAAGAGGAAAAAACACGATACCCATATTACATATCAAACATGATTTACATTACACTGAATTGGTACATCATCATGTTTGGTATTTCATGAATCAATTTAGGCCACAAACTGTTCAATGAAAACAGATCTACAGACCCATGGATCAACACTACAGCCAAACCAGTGATGATTGGTTTCACTGGTTTGGTTCTGCTTTGTTTTGTCTGCAGGCATTTTTATATCACACTTACTCTTTTCTATTTCTATCTTTTCTATTTCTAACACTCAGGACCTAAAAACACACCCTGTTTCGTGAAACCACTCCTCTTCCTGGAATTATCTGAACCATAAAATACCCTCCCCCTTCTTCCTGTTTGCCCTTTGATCAACATAACTTCCTGTTTTCTGATCCTTCCAAATATATGCCAGAGTGCAGACAACTGACAAGATAGCAAAGCAAGAAAAAGGAACTGAGTTTTGGTTTGGATCGGGTGGCAGGAACTGAAACTCTCACACACGCACTCTCTCTGAGGTAAAATGGCGCAGCAAGGAATTCAGCTCGACCAGGACAAACTCTGCTGTTCCATCTGTTTGGATCTACTGAAAGATCCTGTGACTATTCCCTGCGGACACAACTACTGCATGAACTGCATCAAATGCTGCTGGGATAGAGGTGATCTGAGGGAGATCCCCTGCTGCCCTCAGTGCAGACAGGCCTTCATACCAAGACCTGCTCTGGTGAAAAACACCATGTTGGCAGAGTTAGTGGAGGAGCTGAAGAAAAGCGGACTCCAAGCTCCTCCTGCTGATCACTGCGATGCTGGATCTGAAGATGTGGCCTGTGATTT